AAAGTGTATCTAATTAGTAGCAATACTATTTGTGGCTTATGACCACAATTAAGAACTTCCGGGATTAAGAATGTAGTAACTAAGTGAGTCAGGCCCAGTTTTACATTTTATTTTTTGCTGTGGTTAATCACAAGTGAATCCAGCTCCACCCATTGTCTTCATCAAAAGCTCACTAGGAAAGTTGCAAATGACAATCATGTCACCCCAGGATGCTGCACCATCACACATGCATACTGGCTACCAAGCACCTGGATTGTGATCACCTGACTGTGGGGATGCTGCAACAGTCATAAGTGCAGGAACCAATCATAAGTCCTTTTTTAAAAAGAGTGTTGCAATTTTGAACAATTGTTAAATAAATTGTCATAAATAGAGGACTAGCTGTACCGATAGCAAAAAAGAAAGAGTTGTAGCCAATACAAATTCTTTATCTTTCAAGGGAAATGTTGTGGAATTACAATATTCACATACTTTCCTAGCTCACTTTTATTTTACTGTTATTATCCTTAATTCCAACCTCATCTGGTAATTTTGAATGTATTAGATTATCCATTGGACAGGACAAAGATGTAAAACAGATAACTGTAATTCTAAATAATCAAATGGCTGTCAGTACTTATGACCAATACACTCTGAAATCCTCTGTTAAACGTTATCAGAAAGATGATATTAATTTATACACAAAATGTTCTCATATTGCTTGATTGTATGAGGCAATAAACAGGCCAGGTTTAAAATGTAACACCAATATATACTGCAAAGTTTCTTAGTGTGTAAGAAAATGGAAATGCAATATATAATCTCATTCACTTTATCAATTGCACTAAAAGTATATGAATGCAAAAGTTGATATCGCCCAGGAAAACATCTATTACTTATTCTACAAGCAACAAAAAAAAGACAAAAGCTGAACTGGCTATTGGAGAACTAAACTCTGTAGCACAATTCTGGTACCTTCAGAAAAGTGGGGATTGCAGTTCTCACATTCTTGGCTAGTCTAATTGAACCCCAATATATGTGCAGGCTCTCAAGCTGCAGAAAGGTGTTTGGTGCATAATTTAGATAGGAAAACAATTTCTTATTTCATTTTGATTAAATCTTCGATATTTTTGCCCTTGAAAAATTGGGAGAAAAAACTAAAAAATAATATTTGGCAAAGAGATGCAGAGAGTAAGATAACTTCCTATGTTTCAGAGTTGTTACTGCATGATACCAAGGAGAGAGAAGGAGAGGTAGAAAGAGACTTTTCTGTTTAGCATTTAAGATCTGCCTGAAAACTACACAGCTTGTAGGAATCTTGATGTCAGTGTAGTAACAACTTTGGAGGACAGGAGCTTATTTTAAATATTTACATAATGATTCCTTATCAAGAATAGCAGTACCACCCAAGTGGCTGGAATTCTGTACACACTTTCCTGACAGTTCAGGGTGTTGAACTGCATAATATGAATGTATGGAAACTGTAAAGTTTTAAGAAAAGTAATTCAGTTAATAGAAATCCAATTGCTCACGATTGGAAAGAAGGGTTAATTTTTAAACAGAGACAAGAATAAATTATATCAAAGAAAAAGAAGTCTGTATTCAAGCATCTTAATTTTTTAAAAAATTATTGATCTATTCTGTATTTAATAGGCAACATTTTTGGCAGAGGGCACATTTTGAATTTTGTGAAAATGCATTAGGCACACAGGTAGTTATCAAATTATAATCACAATTGAACCCAAACTTATTGTTCCTAAGTGAGACAAATATTGAGTTTTGTCCCATTTTACGACCATTCTTGCCATAGTTGTTAAGTGAATTGCTGCAGTTTTTAAATTAGTAATACCGTTGTTAAGTGAATCTAGCTTCTCCATTGACTTTGCTTGTCAGAAGGTCTCAAAAGGTGATCACCTGATCCCGGGACATTGCAACCATCATAACTTTAACTCAGTTGTCAACCATCTGAATTTTGATCACATGACAGTGAGAATGCTGCAACGATCATAAGTGTGAAAAACAGTCATAAGTCATTTTTTTCAGTGCTGTTGTAACTTTGAACAGTCACTAAATGAACTGTTGTAAGTCAAGGACTACCTGTACTTATAAAATAGTTCCTATGTGAGACTTACCTAATCACAAAATAATTATGCTAGAAATGTGGTCACTTATATCTCTATATTTCTACATTTATCAGAAAGTAAATGCTCTCTAGCTTTCCAACGCTTATACCTCCCCAAAAAATCACTTCAGGAAATAAATATGAGGCTAGCAGGTGAGACAATGAGCCACTGTTCTATTTACTTTTGTTTTTAAAATCTTTTACAAGTTAGATAAGATTATGAGCCTGATGAGGACCAAAGAAAGAACTGGATATGATATGCTGAGGACATTGCATTGTCTATTTTTGTTCTATATAATCTGACTCTAATGCTTTTAAGACCTTGTCATCACCTCCTTCAATTGATAGAGCAGCCGAATTCTATCCATTACGATACTCTTGTGCTCTGGAAGATGACATCAATACCAACGCTAAAAAAAGTGCTAGCACTGTGTTCTTCTGGATTTCTCCTCTACTGCATTATTGGAAATTCATTTCATAATTTCAACAGGTTGTACATTGATTTGAACATATCAAGCCATAGCTTATTTCTTTTTCTGAGTTCTGTTTTATGAAGCCCAGGCTTTCCAAAATTAAGAACATAGGATGGGTACAGAATGATACAGAAAGAAACAGGTAGATCAGCCAAGTCAGAGTCTTTAAACCAATTTTCTTTTTAGAACTAAGACTTTTTAGGAGAAGCTTCAGAGCCGAATGGCCACTAATGGTTGCCAAGGAAAACTTTACAAAACATACCTAAGAATACTCATAAGGTCATTGTTACAGCATAAAAATACTATGTGCTTATGATCTTTGTGGATTTCATCAGCTTCTATTCAGATAGGACAGTTAATGCAAAAAACTAGCTTCACCCTCACTTTGGTGTCTCTACTCAACTGTATTTCTTATATCAAGAAATAGACTTTACAATCTTTGTCTATTTCAGATAAGACATTTTTCTTAAAATAAGATGGATCAGAACTCCATAGCTAGAAGAACATGAGTAATGTCATAGAAATTCTAATCTACATTTACAGTTTACAACTACAGTTCATCTTTGAGATACCTGGTGTGTCCAAATCCATCATTCCTAATTTCATGGATACAGATGAACTTCTGAGTATTTTTCTAGTCTATACAGCTGCAGAGGAAAATTTAAAATGTTTATACTTTTATTACACAAGTGGTTTACTTTAATATAGCAATTAATGTATTGTCAGATCTCTTGGCATTCTTAGTTCATCTACTACACATCTTGGAATCCTGTGCTATAAAAACAGATGGCAGCCAGATCAAATGAACACTATAGAGCACGGGTGTCAAATTCACGGCGTCACATGACGTTTTGTGATGTTTTTCCCATTTGCGGAGCTGGGGTGGGTGTGGCCTGTGCATGATGCATCCAGCGCATGGGCCGCCAATTTGACACTCCTGCTATATGATGCTTGATATATATGAAATCAAACATGTCAAAAATATTGACATTTCAGCAAAACTTAGACTATTTTAATATAGCTGCATTTTAGAAGTTACACTTCGGACTTTCTGAATCTGTTCTTTCAGATGTGCTAGAATTTGATTCCAATAATTCTCAGACAGAATATCAAAATCAAAAACATCTGCTTAATTATTTAATCAATGCAGAGATGAAAAGAAGGTTTTTCAGTTCAGGAATGCACTGGTTAAATAATATTCAGCGTAACAATGACATCTGAATATAAACACAACTATTCCTCTGCTTTCCTCTCACACAGAGTAAGAATCATGATTTCAGACCTAGTGCTGTGTAAATGTAAAATAACTTTTTAAGTTCCTGATGAAGACAAGACATGTGATTAGGAAATGCCCATGGAAATCTCAGGCACTGTAAGGACTGCTGAATAAGAGTAAGTGGAATAGGATTTATTTATTTATTTATTCATTCATTTTATTTATTTATTTTAGAGTCGTAGCTATTTCTCTGTGCCATTGAAAGTATGCCAAATAATAGAACATAAGTAATTTTCTGATTCAGAGCAGGTTATAGTTCATAGTTTTATAAAATGTGTGTGTGTCTAAATTTCAAATTACCCATTTACCATGACTTGTCATGGACAGGCAACTTTATTAAAAGAATTCTATTTCAGCTAAGCCGGAAAGACACATATAGGGCCTGCAGAAGCATAATTTTCACTTTGATATTAATTGTGGCAATGTCGCATTTTAAACCAGCCATGATTAATTATATCCAAATTTTCACACCCACACTCCCCTTCCTTTAGCTTCCTGAAAACCCCACATTTGCAGATCCCATTTTAGCAATGCATCTAAGATTTGACTTGCCAGCCACTATCATTAA